CACATCGACCTGGTACCAAGGAGGTCTTCTCGATCTTGAAGTCGGCAACAATAGGGATAGTCAGCTGCAACTCCATCGCCAGCAGGCCGCGACGAAGAAACGGTCTCCTTTTGCAGCACAATTTTAGATGTTTTAGCCATTGATGAACAAGAGAAAAGAGAATTAGGATGATAAGCGGGTTGATTAGCGTTCAAGAAATTTGAGTGTGAAAAGTGTGAAGCAAAAGGATTTTTTGAAGAAAAGGCAAGAGTAGGAAGAACTTTGAGTGTAAAAGTTTGAATGAGTAATGGCTAGGGTTCTTATAGGTTGCTGGCGATGGTTCAGAACCGGTAGTGGCCGGCCAGCAACTGACAGGCATTTAATGCCTCGGTAACCGAACCGACAGGACATTTCAGTATCCACTTGCCGCTGACGTCATAGTCGGGCTTGCCGCTTACGTCATGGCCCATCGAGACGGGATTGGAAAAGTTCATATCGTTTCTCGTCATCTTCTCTCCTAGAAACGAGGGGACTATTTGTATACGGTCAAAATCGGGCTTGCCCTTTTTGCATGGCTGATCGAGACGGGAACGCGATAAGCCAAGATTCGACCTCGTATTATATCGAACCATGAAGCAAAGTTAGATTACCAAGATCAAGCAAGAAAAAGATCGAGCGAGATCCAGGGAAGTTTGCCGAGCCAAATAACGGAAAGCCGAGATATCCGCAATCGGACGAGGATCATGGTGGAAATCTCGGCACGTATCAAGAAGAGGCCGATTAAGTAGCTAATCATGGGATTCCAAGAGTAGGACTCCCCTACTATATAAATGGGGTCTGATCATTTGTAATACACATCATGTTTACGCAATACAAAGCAATTTACAGTCTTTCTCTAGTTTTCATTGTCTTGTTACTCTGTTCTTATGTTAACTGAAACTTCATTTGGTTAAAGGGCGATCGAACTCGAGGGTCAAGACTGTTCGACATATAAATTCATTTGGTTAAAGGCTGTATTTATATCACGTATCCTTAAAATCACATATAAATTCAATTATTATCCGATTTTAGGGTAAACAGATATCTTGTGAAATAAAAAAGTTTAGACAAATACAAAAATGTTATGTTAGAAGGACTATTTTGGTGAACTTGCAACAAGAAGCGTCGATGGTTTGACTTACAAATTAGAATATGCATCAAATAACTTATTGTGAAATCTAGATTACATTTACCCCCTACTAATGAGTGGAAGGGTTTTTAAAATTTTGACTTTAGAATCAGTTTTCCATACTAAGCTAAGGTCACTTTTATCTTCAGACAATGAATGTGTATAATTACTGATTATTAGTCAGTTACATTGTAAGTAACTCGCCATCTTGAGCAGAGGTTGGTGGATAATATTTGCTATTTTGCTTGAGCTTTTTATATCAAGTTGAATAGGTAAGGAATATCCAACTTTACAACGGACAAGTTAATTTCATCGTCGTGACTACCGTGTCACATAGAACAACCCGGCACATAACTAGCGAGCTGTTATGGAGCCAGGTCACTTAGCTTGCCCAACTACAGCACGATTACAGAGAACAAGGAAAAGGAAGATAAAGTACTTTAACAATGGATATGACCGTCAGTTTTTTTCTGAATGAAGTTGGTGTATGAGTTAGTTTGTGTACCCCTCAACTATATGATAAAATATTTCTATCTTTTGCTTGTATAGATACCAAATAACTTTACCTATTAGGTTTAAGCAAATATAAAAAATTATCTAACATTTTTTTTTTGTCTCATTTTTTCATAATTTTCACCAAATTCATTGATAGTCATATCCTTAAGAAAATAGTACGGGCTAACCAGTTTTCAGATTGGTAATTAAAAAATAGTCAACATTTGCAAAGTCATTAAAAAATAGCCACTATTTTGCTGAAACACGGAAAGTTCTAGCATAATATGCTGAATTATGGAGTTCCTGCGTATAAACTTCCAACATGTTATGCTGAAATTTTTTCGAATTTTTAAGAGTATTTTTATTCAAATTTTATCTTTAAATAAAAATATAACTGAAGTTTGATTATTTTTGAAACTATAGCTATTTTTCATTACTTCTGGCTATTTCTTATTTTTTCCCCCATACTTTGATTGCACAATTTAGTCTATTGATGGGCTTATAAAATAATTGCATCTGGAAGTCTTTTAAGTTTCTTAACCTCTTACAAACCAAATTCACGTCCAAATAGCACGGGCTAGACAATTTCCTGACTGACAATTGAAAAATAGCCAACATTTGTAAAATTATTAAAAAATAGCTATTACTATTTTGCTGCAACACGAAAATTTTCCAGCATAATATACTGGAGAATGATGCACTTGTATATGAATTTTTAACATATTATGCTGGAACTCCAACACACAAAAAGTTCCAGCATAATATACTGGAGATTGGAGCACATGTGTATGAACTTCCAGCTGGAAGTCCAGTATATTATACTGGAACTCCAGTATATTATGCTTGAATATTCTCCGGACTTTAAACAGTGTTTTCGTTCAAATTTATCTTTACATAAAAAGTGGCTAAATTTCGATTTCTTTTAAAACTATATTTATTTTTTAATTACCACATGTAAATCTGACTATTTTGAATTTCACCCTAAAATTACACGTTGGGTTTAGCTCAAAAGAAGGAAGCTGTTGCATATTGGGCCTAATATAGCCCAACAAAACTGTAAAAATTGCACGGGGCGCCCTATTTGGTCGCCCCTATTTAATCTATACCCATTTTCTAATTTTTTTTAACTTGTACCCACTTTTTAAACAACTACAACCCCCTTTTTCCTCTTCCTTCTCCCAGTGATCTCCATATCTCTCCGGAACTGTTTAACAATATAATGGCTCGATTTAAGAGCTATTTCTTCCAACCACTATTTCTTCCTCATCTTGCTGTTAGTCTTTTTTGCTACTTCTTCCGCTAAGGCACAGAAAGAATCTTCCCTTTTTTATTCCATTTACAGCTTTGGAGATAATGACTCTACATCTACTTCTGATCATTTAGCTGTTGTACTTGGTCCAGAGGCGGACCCAGGATTCGAGCATGACGGGGCCACCACTGTATATGCTAATCACCAGCGATAAAATTCGGCATGCAACTTTTTGAAACTTAATGATTATGATGACTTATCATCCAAGTATTAACAAAAAGAAGTTCTAAAGAAAAAGAAAGCAGTAAACGGGGGAGAGAGAGAATTCTTCGCAATAGGGCGTTCAAACGTAAAATTATAAAAGATTTACTAAAGAAATTAAGATTAAGAGTACGTTATTACTAAAAGAATTGAAGAAGAGTCTCAAACTCTTAGTTTCCATTGCCAATTCAAAGTGATTGTTAAAGAAGATTGTGGTAGAAGATTTGTATTTTTCTATATGTGGAGCGATAAGTTGCAATTTGAGGCTTTCAATTCTAAGGAAGGAGTTTACAAAAAAAGAATAAAATCAATTAAGTTGACTATTTTGTATTAGTACTAAACTATAATTGAATATTAAAAAAAAGAAGAGGATTAAAGTAAAAATAAAGTAATTTGCTATTAAATAAAAATTACATTGTATTCAAAGAACTAAAATAAAAAAAGAGAAAAGACTAAGGAAAACTTTGGGGGTTTCGAACATGCGTCACCACAACATAGGAGAGAATTTAAGTGCCCAAAGCAACCACTTCTTCCATCCATCACTTTGTGTTTGGGGGCACCATTAAAATATTTAAGGGGTCCCGTATATAAGTACACATATATATATATATATATAATATGTACATACAAAATTTTTGCCAAGGCTAACGGGGTCACGTAACCCCTCAACTACCAACCTAGGTCCGCCCCTGACTTGGTCTGCCTTCTCTACAACACTACACCAACGAAGGCGTTGAGTTCGAGTTCGGTATTAGTTTATGACGCTTGGAGCAACAATTATGAGTCCCTTTTGTTGAACCAATAAAAGGCTGAAGTTCGCCAGTTACAAACAAAAATTTCAGCTCTAGAGCTTAAGTTTGCCAGTTACAAACAAAAACTTCAGCTCTAGAGCTGAAGTTCGATAGTTACAAAACAAAAACTTGCTGAAGTTCACCAGTTACAAAAACAAAAACTTCAGCTCTAGAGCTGAAGTTCGCCAGTTACAAAAACAAAAACTTCAGTAATTACAAACAAAAACTTCAGCAAATAGAGAACAAAACTTCAGCTACTATGCTTAAGTTCAGCAATTACAAACAAAAACTTCAGCACACTTGGTTCAATACACTTGCTACTTCAGTTCCGTTTACTAGAATGCTGAAGTTTTGCATGATTGCCTTTGTTACTTCAGTCCTGTATGCTGAAATTACGCGAAAAAATGTGTATGCTTGCAATTTTTTTTGCAAAGCGGACACAAGTTAAAACGTGACCCAAAAACGGGTATAGATGCAAACGGAGGCTCAACCAAATTCAAGCAATTGTATCCTTACAGGTCGCTGTAGTGGTTAGTCCTCTGCAGTCCTCAAGACTTACCTTTTTCCTTTTGTAATACACGTAATCTCAATTTCAATTCAACAATTTTGTCTTCATTTTTTTCCCCAATATAATTTTGTTATCATGATTATGCAGCTTTTGGCCCTTTCACTTGGGGTCATTTGGTTACTGGAATTGATAATTTGGCCCTTTTTCTTGGGGTCAATTGGTTATTAGAATTAGGATATTAATTCCGATATAAAATTTAAAATTGTATTTATTTCGTATTTGGTTGTTGATACTAATTAAAACCAATATATATTATTTTATATCAAAATATTGATATAATTTATCTTTGTTCCGAACAAGACGACCCTAGTTTTTAGTAATAGAAAAAGTAAAATTGTCGTTGGCAAAATGAGGGCGACATCAATATCAACTACTATCAAGAACCAAAACCACAACTCTATAGTTTGAAGCAGCACCACGATTTGCTTTATCTCCAAACTTGTGATTCAATAATAAAGTTCAAAAATAATCCATTCTACCAATTGTTCAGTGGTTGTGGTTTCACCTTGGAATTTATGTCATGACACTTGGCCACATATACACATATTATAAAATTATCCTATTTGGCTCACACCCTAAAAAATGCACTTCTCATTTTCACTTCAAACAGAACTGACTGACTTCTGAGTTCTGAACCAGGGCTCAGACAACACTTGGCTCTAACTGTAAGCGATCTCCTCTTGAAGTTGTTTTTTTATTTATTTAAAATAAACCCATTTCATGAAAACTTGGGTTCTATATGCGAGAGTCCAATACAAAATTTTATGATTTTTAGGAAGATGGGTATTTAAAGATTTTGTTTATTTTTGTGATTCTGCCTATTCTTTGTGTGTTTGTTGATGTTTACTTGGATCGAAAAAGAATGCGTACGTACAAAGATTTTTGTCTTTCTTCTATGTATACTGGAGGTTTTAGCGTCATCTTTCTTGATTTCGTCGTGTTGTGAATATGTGATTGATTTCTCATGCATTCATATCTAATACTTCTGCATAAAACAGCTTTTTTTGGGGAGTTTTATTGGCTAGCATTTGTTTGCTTCAAAGAGTTTGTTACATTCTATTTTTTATAATGGTGGTGTTGGGCCAGCTTGGGCGCACCTTTACTATTCCACCTTGCTGCCTCAGACCAACATAGTTATTGGGTAACTCTTGCCCACTAAGGTTTAGGCAGATGAAAATAAATCACCTCGCGTCTTTTTGTGTTGTAAACAGGGGCGAAGCTGCCCTTGTAGTCAATTGACACCTCTTTGCCAAAAAAAATTACAGTGTAGATAGGTCAATTTTATAAAAATCTATATGTACGATATGTTGATCCCTTCGCATACTCACATGTTTACTTCTTTATAATTTGAATTCCCTTAGTGAAAAATCTGGTTGTGCTACTGTTTTTCAACCCTGGCCTTAAGGTCTGCACCTACTTTATTAACAATTAGGTCCGACCTTGAGTGCGCGTTTGTTAAATTTTGTAAAAGGTCTCTGTTATGATATCGATTTGGGTGTGTGTGGTCACGTGCATTGTTGTTTTGCCAGTTCCCAGCTCATACTATTACTGTTTCCTTTTCAATTTCTGTTGTTGCTAAAATTGAAAGCATGGACCTACTGATAGATTATCCATACATTATATGTAACTCATTTACCACTTTTCTTGCGTATAATACTTTTTGATTGGATTTGGGGTTTTTGTATCGGGAAGTTGTGGTATTATAATCAATGGGCTGAGCATTTTGGTCAACGGAGTATCAAGTGATATGTTTAATCTTTTTGGTTTTTGAATTCTTGTTGTTTTGCAGTCATTGTTCCTTTTTACTGCTTATAGTTTCTTCATATAATTGTAGGTTTTGAGCTAAGCTGCTAGACTGCCGGTACGGCCATCACTTTGTTTGGAATTTGAACAAAGAGAAAACTCTAATTCCTTATAATGTCTTCTAAGCCATTAGACTATGACAATCTGAATGAAAATGTGAAGAAGTGCCAATATGCTGTCAGGGGTGAGCTGTACCTTCGAGCTTCTGAGCTTCAGAAGGAAGGCAAAAAGGTATAAGTTTTATCAACTTATTCATCTCTTTTTCCTGTAAGAGATTCAACGTTCCAGCATGCACTAGGTTTGTTGTCTATTAGACCTTTATAATCAGGGAACTATAAGCAAACTGTAGGCAATTGGCAAGATTCTAAGGATTGAATAAGTCACATGTATAGAGCCTGAATTGTTGCCAAATTCTATTTGAATCCCAGGAAATGCATAAGAACTTGAAATTCATATTGTAAACTATCCTGATCTAGTATGGTGAGAGAGTACATGCTCTTCTGACATGATGTCACCATTAAACAATTATACATTAATTGTGATTAGTCTATTCCAGAGTCCTCTGATGAGGAGGAATTTTGTAAATCCTAATGTTTTGTGGATATCGTCTGAATGAAGACTATTTAGTGGCATGTAACTAGGAAAACACGTCAAAGCATCACATATCTTTTCATTAATTCATCTGAAGCATGTGTATACTATTTCATTATTCCTGTTTTTCTGCAGATCATTTTTACCAATGTTGGTAATCCCCATGCTCTTGGACAAAAGCCACTGACATTTCCTCGCCAGGTTTGTCACAGTTGCTGAATGCCTCTTCTATGAGATGCTTGAGGTTTTGGTACATGTATAAACTTTGGACTCTATATTTCAGGTCATTGCTCTGTGTCAAGCTCCATTTTTACTGGATGATCCTAACGTGGGATTCTTATTCCCTGCTGATGCAATTGCAAGGGCTAAACATTATCTTGCAATGACTTCTGGAGGTCTAGGTATCCTTTCTCAGATAATCTTTAATTGCTGGATTGAACCTTCTTGTGTTATCACTCTCTTTCTCCTCTCTTCCTTTCATGTCAAAAGTTATTCATTTCTTTATTTTCTTTTTGTATTTTAATGATTTTCATATTTTTGTTTCACTGTTTACTCTTTGGTCCTGCTTATAGTTTGTCCATTGTGTTTGTGAAATCGACAATGCATTATTTCACATGTAACTTCTTTAGTCTCTGTAATTTCTTACTCCCTCCGTTTCAATTTATGTGAACCTATTTCCTTTTTAGTCCGCGCCAAAAAGAATGACCTTTTTCCCTATTTGGAAACAATTTACCTTTATGCAATGATTTATAGCCACACAAAATATATGTGCTTCATTTTACACCACAAGTTCAAAAGTCTTCTCTCTTTTCTTAAACTTCGTGCCCAGTTAAATGGGTTCACATAAATTGAAACGGAGGGAGTATATCCTAAAGGACTACCAACTTTTTATCCCTTGGGAGGTGATAGTTGGAGTGTAACTTCGGAACTGTTGACATTAGGGGTTATGAATTTTATCCTTTCCTCAATGCACAAAAGCTAAATTAGACTACAGCCACTTGACTTTGTAGCTGAAATCCTTGTCTCACTATCAATCTGTGCTCTTGTTATTGCACTCAATTCCAAGCAGCATAAATGATTTTGGCACAGTTTTGCGACAGTGACTTTTTAGCTACGGAATGATGTATTCTATATTGCTGGTCAATTAGGTGCTTACAGTGACTCCCGTGGCACTCCTGGTGTAAGGAAAGAAGTTGCAGAATTCATTGAGAGACGTGATGGATATCCAAGGTTATAGATTGCTCTTTCCATTTTACTTGGTCTGGTTTGATTTCGTCAATTTGATTCTTGAACTGACAGTAGTAGTTATTTTGTTTGACAGTGATCCAGAACTCATATTTCTCACAGATGGTGCTAGCAAAGGTGTGATGCAGATCTTGAATACTGTCATTCGCGGCCCAAGTGATGGGGTAATTGATAATTTGATATGAATAGAACAGATTTCCTTTTCATATTCTCTTTCTATCTCCCTTCATACATCTGGTTTTAACTTAAACAGTTCCTTCTTTTAGCACCTCCTGGTCATATGTTTTACATGCATTATCATATTTTTAATGAGTGCACATTTGTTGCTAGATATTGGTCCCTGTTCCCCAGTATCCGCTATACTCTGCTTCAATACAATTATTAGGGGGTTCTCTTGTGCCATACTACCTTGAAGAGACTGCAAACTGGGGTCTTGATATTAATGATCTTCGCCAATCAGTTGCACAGGCACGATACAAGGGAATAACTGTGAGTATGCTGAACTTCTGCTTTCATATATATGCAGACAAACATGATGTATGTGTGAATTCTGAGTATAGTTCACTGAAATTCACTTTTATTAGCAACTTTTAGGCTTGGTGGACGTTAAGCACACATAAGGTTCACCGAAATTCACTTTTAGTAGCAACTTTTAGGCTTAGTGGGCGTTAAGCACACATAGGACTGAATACTAGAAATATCTTTAGAAACAGGCGAAACTTAAAACCTATTCTACGGGGACTGGTTCCTTTTACCCACACAAAAATTTGGATATGGCTGCAAATAAAGGCTGAACTACTTTTCGCTTTTGAGATCTTAAAGCATCTTGTGTTTGCGTTTTAATTAGCCATACATTTTTTTTTTGTTTCTGCCTAGGTACGGGCTATGGTGATTATAAACCCTGGAAATCCCACTGGACAATGTCTTAGTGTAGCAAATCTTAAGCAAATAATTCAATTCTGTCACCAAGAGAGTTTAGTATTACTTGGAGATGAAGTTTATCAGCAAAACATTTACCAAGATGAACGCCCTTTCATAAGTGCAAGAAAGGTACATGTGCTAAATTTCTGTTTAACGAATTTATTAACCTACCAGTATCTTCAGATCCTACAATACTCATTTCAAATGTTATTCACCAAATATGAAGGTTTTGTTGGATATGGGCCCACCTATAAGCAAGGAGCTTCAGCTTGTTTCATTTCACACTGTCTCCAAAGGATATTGGGGTGAATGTGGACAGCGTGGAGGATACTTTGAGATGACCAACATTCCCCCAAAGGTTTGTCTTTTGCTTCCAATTCAAACCGTAGGGATAGGAATATAATAGATAATTCTTGCTTTTAGCCAAGTGCTTATCCCTCTGTGCAAGTTGTGTGTCGTGGTTTACATAAGCAAAATTGTTGTAGTGATAGTGAAAAATATCGTGATCTGAAGACAAGTTTTACCCGCGGGGGNTTAGTTGTTATCACACTCAATTTTGGTTCAGTGTTTGGCAGGAGCTTTACAAGTCTAGTTAAAGACTTGTATGCCAGTGTAAAAGTAAGGGGTGAGATTTACAATATTACTATAACCCTGATGCCTTGAAACAGAAATTATTTGTATTGGAACCAAAAAGGTCCGGATAGGGCAGGGTGGATAGAGATGATTCGTATCGCCATAACTAGTTTTATTGAGACATGGATCGTCAATTGATTAGAATAATTTGAAAGAGATTAGATTGGATCTTTTAAGTGGACATCATTTCGTACTATTCACAATGATGTAGTTCATTTTTATCTTTTTAAAAAAGCTATTCACAAGGGTATACGTTATGAAACTTAATGGTCATATTATAGTCTGACAATGTAAGTTTTTCTTGGATTTGGACTTTATGTACCTAACACAGCTTTTTTGGTATTGGAGTCTATGTGTCTAAGACAGAGCCTTTCCCTTTTACCCATTTGATGTTGCAGTCTGTCGAAGAAATATACAAGGTTGCTTCAATATCGCTCAGTCCAAATGTACCTGGACAGATATTTGTAAGTCAATTTTCACTTGTCTCCTCCGGATAATCTTAATTTGCTTTAAATTGAGCAACATCTTATTTCCAATACCAATCCAATATGTTAGCTCCAGTTTCCCTGTTTAATTCACATCTGACAAGAAATGTCCCCTTCCTTTGTATCTTACAGATGGGGCTAATGGTAAACCCCCCTAAACCTGGAGATATCTCATATGACCAATATGTCAGAGAGAGGTATGACTTCTGACATCAGTCCTTGATGAAATTCTTGAACTTCTTTTAAGGAATTGATAAATTGACCCCCCCAAAAAAATATTCATCCTTTTCGATGGATTTTGGATATGGACTTTTAAACTAATTGGCCCCTGAGTTGCTCTTATCTTTGAACTAGTGAGTTCTAAAGAAGTTTAAAGTTATAAATACATCTATGACTTTATAATGCATTAGTATGAGAACATTTGAATAAGCAGAACCATTAGAATTGTTATGGTCATTCAAACTTTGTCAAAATAATGCACTTCTCCCCAACATAACTCCCAGCATTACAATTACCTGGGGGTCATTGATCACATTGCAACTTCATGTTTACTCCTAATCGTCTGGAGTCACGTACACTGAATTAAAGTAGCTGGGGATTAAAGTCACAAGCAGCACAATTCACCGCTTTTTCTTCTTGTCTTTTGGAAAAAATGGATTTATATCATTATCTTTCTACTGTTATCGAGGATTTGAAACACTTGTAAATCTACTGCTTAATTTAATTTTTTCTTTTTCTCTCTTTTGGTAATTTCTTTTCATCTTTCCGCACATATAGACACACTTCCTCGCTTTTGAATGACGAATATGGTTCTTTCTTATTGCAGTAAGGGTATCCTCGAATCATTAAGGAAGAGGGCACACATGATGACTGATGGTTTCAACAGCTGCAGAAATGTTGTTTGTAATTTCACTGAAGGCAAGTCAACAGCTCACTAGTTCTTGTGTTCTATCAAATACCAAATGAGCTCCCACTAACTTTCTAAGGAATTCTTTTCAGGTGCAATGTATTCTTTCCCACAAATACGACTGCCTCCTAAAGCAATAGAGGCTGCAAAGAAGCTTGGGAAAGTTCCCGACGTGTTCTATTGTCTCAGGCTGTTGGAAGCAACTGGCATCTCCACTGTCCCTGGTTCAGGATTTGGTCAAAAGGAAGGGTGAGTTTATTATCCTTTCATATTCAATACCAAAATGCCCTTATATTCATTACATACCTCAGCGTTCTCAGAAACTCCCTTTCCTCCCTTCTCTCGGGTTTCCTTCATTTAATTAGCTGTTAAAACCTCAATTGCCCCTCAGTATGTTTAAACCGTTGCAGCAGGTAACCTACATTATATTTTTCAAGTTACTGACCCCACTTATTATGGACGGTTACTTGTAGTTATTTAGTCGATGAACTGATAGTGTTAAAATTCTTTTACACTGTCCGTCAGTGTGTAGAAGTTAAAACTCTGTTGTAAGTTTTGGGCTCAAAGAAAAGCTTGTGTATGTAGGGTGTTCCACCTAAGGACAACCATATTGCCAGCTGAAGAAGACATGCCTGCAATAATGTCGAGTTTCAAAAAGTTCAACGATGAGTTCATGGAGCAATATGAAGACCACAGAGGCTATTCCAGGATGTAAAAGGAGTATTTATTGTACTGTATATTGTTTTACAATTACTGCTATTCTCATAAACAAAAAAATTATTGTACACTACTTGACCGTAACCTTTTCCTTTCCCCCCTCTATTTAGCCTTCATTTATGTTATATAAGACTTATTAGATTTACCTTGTGGTGTACAGATTTGCCTCATTAATTTACCACGTCAATTCTGCATTTAATTGAATTAAGATAGTAATTAAGACCATATTGAAACCTCGTTGACGGTAACCAATTAGTACTACGTGTACTTTTGTAGACTGTCTCCTTTCGTTTATCTCTGTTTTTCAGCATAATGGAAATGAGATGGATTCAAATTCTAGATACCTAAATGTCAAAAAGACCATAAAATAAATTTTCTTCTTAAATCCAAACTAACATTAACCTAAAGAAGTAAATGGTTTTTGTCGGAAATTAATCTAAATTGAATACAGTATTAGTTTGTCGAAGTCCGGAAAATTCTGAATTTATCATGGATACTACTTCTATATGCGTAACGAAACTGAAATACATCTAATTTTAGGTGAAATTTATGTATTTGCAGTCAAAAGTTCTTTTATGGCTAAGGTTAGACTAGGTACTATGTTATATATTACATGATTTAGTGGTTTTTATTTTGTAAAAAAATGATAAAGAGACTTTCTTGATACTTTTGGAAGTTATGTTTTTCAGAAATAACCTACATGGTTTGTTTTAAGCTAGGTACGTACATAAGACGAATAGTATTAGCCGTGTCAATACTTATACGTCGCAGTGTTTTCTTAACAACAACAACAACAACCCAGTAAAATCTCACAAGTGGGGTCTAGGGAGGGTAGTATGTACGCAGACCTTACCCCTACCCCAAAGAAGTAGAGAGGCTGTTTAAGGAAGACCATCGGCTCAAGATAATAAGAAAAATAAAAAGGAGAGAATATTAGTTTCACCACAGAGATCATAGGAAAAATAGGAACATAAAATGCAGAAGGAAAAATACAAAACAAAAATGATGGCTAGTAAATAGGTCCTGCACCAAAAAGAGAAAATAGTAAGACACTACAACGCCCCTAGCTATTTCAGACAAAAACTCTACCAGACTAGGCTCACAACAGTACAAGGTAACGCAAGACTCAACTACCTCCTAGCCTACAACCGTAATACTCGACCTCCATAACTTCCTATCAAGTGTCATGTCCTCGGAAATCTGAAGCCTCGCCATATCCTGCCTGATCACTTCTCCCCAATACTTCTTAGTCCGCCCTCTACCTCTTCTCGTGCCCTCCACAACCAGTCGCTCACACCTCCTTACTGGAGCATCAGGGCTTCTCCTCTGTACATGTCCGAACCATCTGAGCCTCGCTTCCCACATCTTGTCATCAATGGGAGCCACGTACACCTTCTCCCGAATATCATCATTTCTAATCTTGTCCATCCTAGTGTGCCCGCACATCCACCTCAACATCCTCGTTTCTGCTACTTTCATCTTTTGGATATGTGAGTTCTTAACAGGCCAACACTCAGCCCCATACATCATCGTCAGTCTAACCACCGCTTTATAAAACTTACCTTTGAGTATCGTTGGCACTCTCTTGTCACACAAAACTCCGGATGCTAACCTCCACTTCATCCATCCTACCCCAATACGGTGTGCGACATCCTCATCGATCTCCCCTACCCTGTGGATAACCGAACCAAGCTACTTGAAGCTGCCTCTACTTGGGATAACCTGTGATTCAAGCCTCACATCCACACCCACTTCCCTCGGCTCAGTGTTGAACTTACACTCCAGGTATTTCGTCTTCAATCTGCTCAGCTTGAAACCTATAGACTCAAGAGTTTGTCTCCAAACTTCTAGTCTCCCGTTAACCGCGGCTCGTGACTCATCAATCAGAACTAGTGTTTTCTTAACATCAAACGATTTTACTTGTAAGAGACACTTCTATTATGGACGAATAAAGCTCTATAAACTCTAAACTTACTATACAAATAAAAAAAGTAAGTAATTTTGTTTAAGAGAGGGGTATGGAGTACTTTTTATGTCTAGAGAGCTAAACTACAAGTATTTAATTTGACAGATATTATATCAAACAAAAAGTAACTGAACTACGTCTTGAGAGCTCATCTACTTCTTTGTATTTTATTTTATTTATATTGCAACGGCGTTCGAATAATTCATATCCGCATCACTTAACTATTATATTGAGTACCTATTATTTCTTATTTACACACACATATTGAATAATTCTGTTTATAAAAGTTTCATAATTTGACGGCTGAAAAGAAAGAAAGTAAACTCGCGCTAAGGAATATAAATAAAGCAAAGACTATCAAATCTTTAAAAAAAAAAGAACTTTATTCTTTTACCACTGTGACACTGCCCGTGGTCAGGAAATTCTCACGGGCAAATTCACTCCTTTTGCTCTCCATGCCTTTAATTTAATTAAATCCTTTTTTTCTAGCTTTTGTTTAGGTCACGGTTTCCCCGAGTTCTTTTTTCTTCCCCATATAATTTGTTTCTTTAGGCTATACAAAAGTAAGAGTGAAAAAAAAGGGAACTTTAAAACAACAACTTGTTTAATCTTCAGCTCACATCCTCATTTATTATTCTCTTTCTTCTTCTTCTTCTTCTTCTTCTTTAAATAAAGTTTCCATAGCTTGAAAAATCAATCTCAAAGACCCTTTTCATATCCCTAAAACCCTTTCTTCTTTCTTTCTCTTCAAGATTTTTGAGAATATATTCTCTTCCCAATACAAGGGAACACAAGAAATCTTTTTAGCTTTTCATCTTCTATATATAGGAGCCCAAAATTTTGATTTTTATATCAAGTTAATTAATTAATGGGATTTTCCAAAAAGACAACTAGTCATCATCCAATGGATGGAAATATTAAAGAGTCAGAAACCAAAGGATGGATCATTGCAGGAATTACATTAAGGAGTCCATTGAAGCCCATATTCACAACCAAGAATAAGAACAAACATGTTGAAGACGAAGAAGAAGAAGAAGAAGAGTTTTCGACTACTCCAACGTACGAAGAATCAAGGCTATCATCAAGAAACTTAACATGTCCACCTGCTCCTAAGAAGAGAAAAACTTCTTCAAGGTGCAACTATACTAGGGAATTCTTTCAACCCCCACGAGACTTGGAATCTGTTTTTATACGCAGAGTTGAATTTTAATTTGAAGAAAGTTCTCCCTAAGCACTCATTTAGTAGATGATTAAACTGATTTTAATCTAATTATTTCGTTTTCAGTTTAGTCTCTCTTTATTGTTATATTCAAATTACTACTTACCTAGCCTAGCTTCTCATCTTCTTTGGTAATTTCCACGATTTCGTGTATACAAGGTTCTCTATGCATAAATAAATAAGATGTTAATTTCATCTACGTACCATATTTCTGCCTCGTTTGCACTTTATGTTGAATTAGTATTAGTTTAACACTTATATCCAAAGACGTAATTCAATACTTAAAAGTGTCTTTCAATTACTATTTCGACCAGTAATTAATAAGAACTTGGCGTCCAAAGTGACATCTCTCCTGTTGTACTAATGACTGTTTTGTAATTTATAAGTCTTTTAGTACCAAAAAGGAAAATAAAATTTCAACACTTAATACTTATTAACTACATTTGATAATTAAGCTAAATCAAACGAACCGTTTCTTCTCCACTTCGTTTCTGAAATGGTCCATATTATAACAGCAGCTACTACTATTTCTCCTTGAGCTTGAAAATTAAGGTAGATACATGCACATGCAAGTCAAAATGACAGATACATGTTGAAAAGACGTTATATATATATATATACACACACGCTGATAATGTAAAGTTTTACACAATAATTATAAATTAATTTTTATCAAACTATTAATTAATTCAAACTTATCATCTCGTAAGTGAGTTGAGTATGTAAATATTCTTTTACAATGATTAAACTCATAGTGTGGAAATTGAAACCCCTTTTATATATTCTTTCACTTTCTTTTTTCCACAAGGTATGAGATGCTGGCTGCTGGGAACAAAACATTAGTAGATGCTTTAAAGCTGATTGACTATGACAAACCTCTCACATATACAGTAAAAAAATTAGCCTTTAGTTTGTACTATCTGTCATTATCTTCTTTAGTTTTTATTTATTTATTATAACACATGCACAACAATAACAGCCATTCACTCATCTAGGGCTCTACTCAGTTTAGGGTAGTGGGAAGTTTTTGCCATAATTAAGTTTTGAAACCAAAACACAAATACATATCAAAGTGTATGGGCCATCAGATAAGAATCCTAGGTAAATTAAACTTATTTTTTAAATGATAAATAATTCATATTTCTTCCCCATTCACTCTATTGAATTCGTTTTTCATTATGTCAAATCACGTCCTTTATAAGGATTAAGTTTTATATATTGATAACGTGGATTAAAATTTCCAAATATTATCACTAAATTTTCATCTGTAATAAAGAGTAATTTAGTTATCATTTTTATTAAGTTTTCTAGTAAATACTTTTTGGTACGTAAACCTTAAAAGTCTTATAATAAAGCTTTTGATGAATTCTTGAATATATATATATACTGTCGAGCTTTGACATTATATAATCTAATTTTAATGAATTCTTGAAATCTATTCTGCGGATTGTATCACATTTTCATTGTTCTCATTCGAACTTCAGGATAACGCCGTTTGCAAACAAGATAATTGGAGAGAGATTGATTGATTTTGATTGATTAATTAGAGTTTGGTACCTTTATCTTTCTAGGCTTAGATATACAATGACCTACTTTAACATACTAAATTAATTATACTGTACTAGCGTCATGTTTTTTGATTGGTTTATGGAATGTTAACCACAAAATGGCAGTAAAATACACCATTAATTAATTAGTTAAATGAGTGCGGGAATATTGAGACGGATCAAGTTGAGCACATTAATTCTTTTGATAAAATACTGGTTTATGGACAAGGGTGAGTTCACCTAATATAAGGCTTGTCAATTTGTGTACACCAATAAACAAAGAATTCTTGGGATCAGAGACAATGAAGAGGCAATTGTTTTTCAACACGTATTCAGAAAAAAAATAGTGCTATGTATTTTATTGTACTTGGCATGTAGTGAGCTCTTCTTATTGGGGCTTAAAGATAAGATTG